TTTTTTTTGGCTCGCGGCTGTCATGGCTCCCCCGCTTGCTGTTGTAAGCTTTGTGGCGTGTAACGTTAAAATGATCGATAATAATAATTACTGATGCTCGTAATAATCGAAACGTTAACAATAATAATAATAATAACAACAACAACAATAATGAAAATAACGATGACGACGATGATGATTATTGTTATTATTGTTGTTGTTGTTACTGTTATTATTATTATTATTGTTATTATTATAAGTGGTAGTAGTAGTAGTAATAGTAATAGTAGTAATAGTAATAGTGATAGTAATAATAGTAGTAGTAATAGTAGTAATAGCAATAGTAATGATAATCGTAATCGCTAAAAACTAATATCTAGCAATAGTCAAAAAAGAAAAATCAACAGCCCTGCTATTACACTCCTATTACTTAGAATTTACGATCTGCACATCCGTTCGTCGTTTTTATAATACATCCATATATATATATATGTATACGTATGTACAATATGTATCTTGCGTGTACAGTACACTTCGATATGTGAAAAGTAAGTACACCCTATGGAACTGATGTATAAGCTGTACACACAGTAGTCCTACGTGATAAAAAAAAGTGTACACCGGCGTACGTCTACCGTCTACCCCCTTCCCCCTCTAGACAGAAGTTTCGCCGCTCGGTTTGGACACTAGCAGAAAGGTGGGGCACGCGGGAAAAAATTAGTCCAAAGCGATACCACAAAAAAAGAAAAAAAACAAACGAAGTGGCGTAGAGAGGAAAGAAACACGGATAGAAAAGAACGAGACGAAGACGGGAGAGATAGGCAAAGAGGGAGGGAGGGGAGAGACAAGTGAAAGTGGAAAGGAAAGGGAAATAGACTGATAAAACAACGAGGGTTTAAAGCTAAAGAGAAACTATGACGACTGGGGCTATAAATTCTGTCGAGATATGTGCTACGCACATATGTTGCTGAAATGAAGTGACAATTGTGTGTCTCTAATAATAATAATAATAATAATAATAAGAATAGGAATAAAAATAAGTAAGAATAAGAATAATCATGGTAGCACTGTTAGTGTTGGTGGTGGTGGTGGTGGTAAGTGGTAGTAGTAATAGTAATAATAGCGAGAGACTGATATATAGTTGGGAAAATGTCGGTGGTGGTGGTGGTGGTGGTAATAATGATAGTGGTGGGAGAATGTTAGTATTAGTAGAAATTAGAAATAGTACTAATAGTGCTATAGCATTAGTAATAGTAGTAGCAGTAGTAGTAGTAGTGTAGCAGCAATAGTAGTAGTAGTAACTACTAATTGTAAGTGATAGTAGTAATACTAGTAATAGTAGTAAGAGTAGCGGTTAGTAACGGTAATGTTCCTGTTTTTTTTTTTTTTTCTTCACTTGTTTGTTTGTAAAAGTAATATAGTAGGGTGTCTACCAAACATCTTCGGTAGAGACCAATGTCCTTTTAAACTCTGATAGCTACGTCGCTCCGTGACATTGCTTTCCATTTGTTTTCTTTTTTTTTTTTTTTTTTCATTTTCTCTTTTTGATATCATCAAAATAGTAAACCAATAGTTTAAACGTTGTAGATAATAATTACTATCTATATCACAGATCCAAGTGACTAAACTCCTTTAAAAATATAATATAAATATGTGTATGTGTAATGGTTCGCGCACAATATATATATACACACATAGATATATATATATGTATATGTACTCGCAGATGTGATTGGAAAACAGGTAAATCAAACATAGAGCGGTTGGAAAAAGTCGCGAGAAATGTCGGCGCGCGTTAGTTTATGCTAACATCGATGTACCACGACAGATTCGGTAAAACGAAGAAAATCGAAACTCGATCGAGGAAACGGATCGATCGTCGTTGGTGTGGTGCACGCCCCTTGGAACGGTGCTGTTCAACGCACGTTGCGATACGTAATGTAGACTGTAGAGATGATCCATTAAATGGACCGAGAAGTCCATAGTAGGTACGTAAGCGGGAGACACGTGCAATTCACAATTGATCCACTCGGTTCTCTTGTCGGAAGATGGAAATGCAAATTGATCGGTGCGTAAAAATCGTTTGGTTAATTATGAATGACGAATGGTAAATGGTAAATGGTAAATGGTAAATGACAAGTGGTAAGTGGTATGTGGTAAATGGTAAGTGGTAAGTGGTAAGTGGTAAGTGGTAAGTGGTAAGTGGTAAGTGGTAAGTGGTAAGTGGTAAATGGTAAATGGTAAGTCGTTAATCGACAATTACGAGTAAGCATCCGTCGTGATCCAGAAAGCGGATGCTCTTTAGGCACTTTGTTCAACCAGCACCATTAAACGAGACGCGATCGAGGTGTCCGTCTCACTCGGTTCGTGGTAAAAATCGTAACTGCTGGCATAAACTGGCATAAACTTACTCATTGTTGCGTTGAATATATTCGGGGTACGAGATGGGAGAGTTGCTGGTAGTCGAGTACTGAGCGTAGAGATACAGAACCCCTGGCGGAGGGATGCCGCGATGCAGCTGCTGCTGATGCGGTTGCTGATGCGGCTGACGATCCGGCTGGTGATTCGATTGATGACTCGGTTGATGGTGCGGCTGATGATGCGGCTGATGATGCGACTCCGACGTATCAACGGGGGATGACATTTGCGGGTAGAGTTGGGAATTGAGGCTGTCCAGCGAGCTGGAGGAGCCCGTTGTTTGGTAGACACTCTGCGACGTGACGTGCTCGTGAGACACGGGTGAATTAAGTGCAAACGGCGAGGACGCCGAGGTGGGACATACTACTTGCTGCGGTGACTGTTGATGCTGCGGTAGAGACTCGGACACGCTCTCGTCTAAACACTAGTTGGTAGTCTGCGGATGTAGCAACGGCAGAGGAAGTTGAAGATTATTTTGCTTGGCTAGACTCGCGATTTCAGCGGCGATCCCTCCTTTCGAACCTGCCAAGCCGTCCAACGTGGAAGGTCCCTCGCTGTACCGTAAATCGCAAACTGGACTCTCGAAGCCTGTGCCCGGCGTGCCGTCACCGGCGCTCTGCGGCGTCGCTGGATTGTGATTGGTACTGCTCTGATTCATATCGCGATGTACTCGGTTTTGGTGTCGTATGAGATAACTGTCGCGTACGAACGTACGTCCGCATATGTTGCACTCGTACGTGGTACTTGCCGTGTGGGTACGAATGTGTATTGCGAATTGACTCTTTGACGTGAACGTGAGGGAACATCTGTCGCACACCAATGGCTTTTCGGCAACGTGACTCCAACGGTGTGCCGTCACGTAGCTCTTCACCGCGAAACGTTTCTGACAAATGTCGCAGGCATACGGCCTCTCTCCCGTATGTACCCGCTTATGAGTATTAAGACTGCTCTTCTGAGTAAACCTTTTCAAGCACAGCTCACATTGGAAGGGTCGTTCTCCTGTGTGCGTCCTCATGTGCACTTCCAAGTACGGCTTCCGGCAGAAACTTGCTTCGCACACCGTACAATGATATGGTTTGTTGCCCGAATGAAGCTTCATGTGTACATAGTACGACGAAGCGGAGGATAGCACCTTGCCGCATACCTTGCAAGGCTGTGGCTTCGACCTCGAGCCTTCTTTCACAGTTTGTTGCCCGGTCGACTGACGGCTTGGAACTTCGGGCTGCTGCACGGTCTGACTCTGCTGATGTTGTTGACCCTGCTGCGTTTGCTGTTGTTGATTCTGTTGCTGGCTTTGCTGTTGTTGCTGCTGTTGTTGCTGCTGCTGCTGCTGCTGCTGCTGCTGTTGCTGGCCCTGCTGTTGCTGACTCAATTGCAGCGTAGTCTGTTGCTGAGCCTGCAGGTGACTTTCTTGCTGCGAAAGGTCCTCACGGTCGTCCGACAAGTTCACCATGGAGTTGGAACCATCGGACCGGCTGGAAGCAACAGAATAAAACCCCATGGGTTCGCTTTTAATTTGTTGTTCGAACATGGACGTCATTATATCAGTCTGTTGCTGCTGAGCCAGCTCTTGCGACTGCGGCTCCTGCTGCTGCGCTGCTTCTTGATGGGGGAGCAGAGTCAGGTTGCGCTTGACAAGCTGCTCATATCCTGCGTACCAATCCACCTGCATGACAGGGAACCTCTATGAATCGCCATTTATGACACTGGCTGTAGCAGATAAATTCGCAACGATGCTGTTACACTCGTAATCATGCATGCCCGACTCGTATGTACATACACGCGTGTCAGGTTAGACCAATTGCTTTGACATTTAGCTTTGACAAGTGACAGAAGGTAGCTGGATGATCAGCTGATTGCATAACTTTTACGCGGACCACTCGAAGACGGCACGGCCCCGTCGTCAACAGAACGTAACCCAGCGGCGGAGCAACACGGGCGACTCTATTTTTAAAAAAGCGACCGCAGAAACGGCGGAATATCTCGACTGCGAAACCGGATTCCCCGCAAGCGCCTCGCAAGTGGGAGTCGCTTTTGCCGTAGCTGAGCAAGAAAGCAGCATTTCTACGAACCTTTGCTAATGTAGTGGTCCGGACTAGGGTCGAAAAACGTCACGCCTCATCGAGCGCACGCCTCCCGTTCTCGAGCGGCTTCACGGACAATCGCGAAACATTTCTACGGCCAAATTGTTTTTCTCCGACACAAAATATAAGATGGCTGCTACTATATTTCGCGACCGTCACCTATATACACTAGCACAAACACACGCGACACCCGAGTACCGACCGACGATACTCGGCCAACTTTTCTAATTGGCTGCTCTTCTTCAACCGCCAATATCACGCTCCACCACGGCCAACCTCGCACCTTCAAAACCGCTGATTGGATCGATCCATCGCAAAGCTTCATTCACCTGTTTGATTTTATGCATATTTCATCGACCAACTTTTCCCATACAAATAACCTTAATCTCTCTCTCTCTCTCTCTCTCTCTTTCTCTCTCTGTCTTTCTCTCTCTCTATCTATCTCTTAGACGCTTCACCCTGTCGGCCGTTGCAACTCACTAGGTGTTTAACCAAACAACTTTCCTACACAATTTTCCTCGGTCGTCCGCGTACCTGAAACGTAAAATAGCGTGAAACGTGGAACTTTCGTCTCTCATCACGTCTTCTTTCTACAAGTTACAGATTTACAACTGTTTCGATTCCACGTCGTTCGAAAAATTTCAAACCGACTGGCAACGGAATGCGTGTGTATACATGCGTACATACGTGTATACATAGGCGACACAATATACAAGTACGATATAGATACACATGCAACAATATAGATTCATTTAAAAACGAAAGTTTTGCAATTGTGTATACACTACGTGTATACATAACTAAAATTCAGCGAGAGGAGCAGTCGGGTCACCGAGTTTGTTCGAATATTATCAAATACTATCATCCATCACTGTTTAACTCACGTGTTTCAGAACGATCGTTACGTTAATCGACCTTGAGAAAAAACGACATCGTGTAAATACGCACATCTCGGTTCGAGTGCCTGTTAAATTAATAGCGCGCAGTATCTCGACTCACAATACGAATCGCTAAACGCGCCTTAAGCGACGACATTCTAGAGACTCTTACAGCCTATCAAATGTAACACCGAGTCACTAATGTCCGGATATAATGTTCCTAAAAACAGCAGGCAACCAACTCGAAAGCCTGTATCAAAAGTATCGAGGTATTGTTAAGAAGTAGCTCGTCCTATCGTTTAGGTATAAACATCGTCGCCGAAAACCGCCAGAAATCGTAGTTTTTCGATACTCATTGAAGAAACTGTGGAACTTACTATTTACGCATTTAGCGTTACGAGCATCAGTGAATTTGACTCTGATATATGTACAAAGCTCGATAGAAACGCTTGAACAATATACAATTGAATAATTTCTACGTGTACGTGCATACGTATCCTGTATATTTAAGTAGGTATATTTAAGTTAATATAATTACAATATTAATAATAATCATTTCTGGTTCAAAGTAGTGTACACACTCCGTATACGCATTTGTTGCAACTTTGAAACAAGTTGTAACCGTTTCAATTTCAACATGATAACACTATTGTACGAACATAATTTTCATTCTTTACATTATCAAGAAATCATGTTTGATCGTGTACTCTTAGATACTGTGTTACATGCTTGATTGTAACTTTGTTTTATTTTGATAAATTTACTAATTTGTGTGTTAAATTTTCTTCTAGTTTTAAAAATGGCCGTATCCTCAGAAAGTGTAATGAGTCCTGGCCTCAATGATCCTGTAACCAAAGCGGTGGTAGATAATATAATGGGAAACTTGCCAACGAAGAAACCCCTTGTTCGATGTGATGATTGTGATCTCTCGTTTACCAGCCAAACAGTATTAGATACACATTTGCAAGGAGCACGACATGCCAAACAGGTTTGTACAAGTGAACGACAAATAAAATTGTGAGACAATTAACTGTAAAAAAAAAAATAAAAAGTTGAGGTATGAGGTAACACACATGCAATGAAAAAAAAAGAAAGATCATTTATAAATTTTGACCAAAAGACCTCAAATCAGAAATGTAGAGATTACGCTCTTGTTTTGCAGATTAGATCCAAAAATATAATGGCATCTCTTGAAGAAACCAAAGTAGCATTTACAAAAGATGAAGAAACAAATGGATTGAAATGCAATGTGTGTAATGTGTGTCTAAACTCAATACAACAACTTCAAACGCATTTAAATGGTATATTACAAATTAAAAGTTATTTTGTTCACTTACGTGTTTCAAACATTAAATGAATTTCATTTTCTGTAGGGAGCCGGCACAAAAAGAAAGCCATGAGAGGTAATAAACCTTATATGGTACGAAAATCGCTACCATATGGGTTTAAATTTAGTCGCACTATGTGTATGGATAAAATAATAGAAAAGAATGTTGTTGTACTAATTTACTGCCTACTCATATTTACATTTGCATGCTTAACAGTCTTGCTTATTTTTGCTTTCCACCTGTTTTTATGAGCTAATGGAAACTTAATTTTGCTTGAAAGCTTTAATCTAAAAGTCACTATTGAAAAGCTTAGTGATAATGTTTGTTATAATATATTTGTCATAATTTGCTGTTGTTTATTATTTACTATTTATTCTTTATTTATTTATTTATTTTGTATTACTTGTTATTTATTTCTATCAAACGAAAATTGTATATTTATTATTTATTATTGATTTATTTTTGAGCATATTGTTATAAAATAACTCAATAACAAGTTACATATTATGATTAATAAAATTAATATCGTTTAATAAGTTGTCTCCTCCTGTTCTTCGGTTTTATTACGTACGTTCCTTTTAACAATGTATAACTTGCAGATGCATTTTCTAATTTCTTGCAATGCTCTTTTTATCCTAATTCCTAACCTGCTTCTATAAGAAAATAACATTAAATAATTCAGTCTTTAAATTATATTAGAAATAAAATCAGTTGTGATTTTTGTAAACAACCATTTATCTTTAACTATATTTCATTTATATAAAGTATAATGTACATATCAATTCTTTCAACTGTTAATATCTTATCGCAAGTATATGGTACAAATGATAGAATTGAAATTTTCATGAGAAATTTTAGATAATATATTATATATACTATTTTGAAAAGGTAAACTTCGCATACTTGTACATATTCGTCATTAAAATTTTATGGTGGTTCTCGGTTAAAAATTCTTTGTATTAATGGTTGCTTTTTCTATGGCATGAATGTAGTGTTCAAGCTGATTTATTATCACACGTAACCGCTTCAGCGGTTGTGATACATAGATAGTGTTGATCGCACATTGATGCTTAGGTGGGTGGGCTGGCAAAGATGTTGGCAGTTCAGTGACATCGACTACCATAAATATCCAGGAAACCCCTGTATCTAAAGGTGTATCACTTTCATGCAGCATGTGCAACAAAATCTTCAATTCTTTGACACAGTACAATGTGGTATGTTCTTAGCAAAAAAGTATAAATAACAAATAATAATTATTGACCACTTAATAATAATTTATGTATATAATTGCAGCATATAACATCGAAGAAACACACCGGTAAATTAAAACAAGCTGGAACTCAGAAGAAGAAAAGATTTTTCCCATATTGGAAAAAGCCTAAAACTGGCGTAAATCCTAGGAATCTTGTTCAATCGCTCTCAAATAATTTTGTACCAGGAGGTTTCACAAATCAGACGTAGAAAAAATAATGTAATAGAATGAATATCTCTATTTTAATACACGTATGAATTACTTAAATATACATACATTATTCTTTATAAAAAAATATTTTTTGTATAAATAACATTGGAATCGTGTCGCTTTAAACAATGAAATCAATTTGAAATTTAAATTTTAGTTATTAAAAACACGCATATATATAGTATAAATATCCATATGATGCTACATGTAATTTTTTAATTCTGCCACGTGAAAATGTAAATCTCCCTCTTCGCACTATTTCTTTGGAATATATATAATGTAAATATGCATATAATTGGAACACAATTAGTTCGTATGAAAGATACAAGTTTTTTGTTAACTATACTTATCAACTAAGAAAATTGTTGAAACAAAATGCGGGTGTCGTGTTAAAAATTTACATACGTGTGAATGGTTATCTTTGACATTAGATGAAATAGTGCAAATAGGTACTAATGAACGAATGTATATATATGTCCATTTAAAAATTAATGAAAAAATACATAATGTTGTAAGCATAATAATAATAAAAGCTATAGTCTTCGATTATTGATCCTGCAACGTGAAAATTTTATTTTCAAAACTCCGTTTTCTTCTCATTCCGTTATTTGTTCACGCGCTTTCAAGCTGAAATTCAAATACATCCAATATAATTATAAATTAGCAATATCGTTTACATTATTTTAACATTACCTGTGTTGTACAACTACTTAATAAACGACGCATTTCCGCATTCTGTTTCCGTAACGATTGCGTTTCAGCATTTAATTGGTGTCTTTCTTTCAACACTTCATAATACTTTTTAAGGCCAACCAACAGATTATCCCACAGTCTTTCCTTGTCTTTTGAAAAAATATTCTGATATCGTTCCCAAAAATCAATTATATCGTTGTCCGTTATATTACGTGATATCGTGACCTTTTCTTTAATTATTTTTTTATCAGGCGAAGCTTCTTTCTTAACGAACTCGTACCTCTCCACGAAATCTTTTAATGCATTTGAAACGATCTCGGTTTCAACCGTCAACAAGTGGCCTCTGTTGCACGTTAACGATCGTTTTGGTTCGCCATCCGCTAAAAAATAAAATCTATACGTTGCATGAACAAATATAACTGAAATTTGCCTCGATAAGTAAATTTCATGTAAAATCGAAAAGCAACAGTCAGTGAAAAAAAAAAAAAAGTATTGAAGATATATCGACTTTTGTTACACACTGTCAGTAACTTCAATGATGCCTTTAGATACACAGGTTGAGACTTGTGCATTTACAACCGGTGTTTCGGTCGAAGAAGATTCTGGTACATTTTCATTTGTACCAATATCACTTTCATGTCCATCGTCATGCAATTTCTCAGAACAAAGTGCTTCTTCCATAGCTGCCACTAATTTAGCTTCTTCCGCATCAAGTGTATCGCTGCCGCAAATATCAAGTAAAGTGGTCCTAAAATATTTTCATTATGAATAGTTTGTATTAAATTTTCTATCAGCCTTCTGATCTTTTCTTAAAGATCAACAATATTTCTCACGTACAAAGACGAAGAACTTTCAGTAATTTCCCCAGACCGTCCACAAACACTGGGTGTACTTACAATTTTGGTCGTACAAGTGGGGCAATACGCGTACGTTAAAAAAAAATTCAATAAGAATTGGATTTCTTGTTCGGACGTAATTTTTAGCGCCTAAAAATTCAATTGTATTCATATCTCAACTTGGCACGAGAGCGCAATTGTTTATACCTCGAACACTTTATCCAATCGAATCAATAATTTATCCTCTTCCGCATAATCAGAAAGTAAATTCTTCAAAGTATCTTCAATAAGATAATCACAGTGCTCAGAAATCAGTTTTAGAATATGATTTAATAAGCGCCGTTCCAAATTAATTTCTTCTAAAGTAGTCGCTGGTTTGTATGATTTGGCTATTATTTTTCTCTGTTTAGCTTCCTCTTGTTCTTAAACGATAATAAAAAAGAGAATGTTAATAAAACGATGCTTTATCTTTATTTGTCAAATTTTATACCTGTTTTTAAGGCACACATTGCTCCGCAAAACGAAGGTAATTCCTCTTTTTTCAACAACTGTTTCTCCGGTGGCTGCCATTCCATTATTAACAATTGTTCGTGTATGATTCTATCTGCCGTCAAAATCTGAAATATAGTTGTCAAACAGAGCTATCCCTATCAATTATATATTGCTACCTGCTATAGTAATTATATTTATATCATACGTTATAGTCCATATAATTAATCACACGCACCTTGTCAACTAATTCGTTCGCAGTTTTAATATTCATATCCCATATTTGCATGTACTTTTTATCGTTGATCTCGGCGAGATTGTTGGACTTTTCTTCCAAGTCTTGTATAGCTCTATGCGACTTTAATATTTGATTCGTGATCTTTTGAATTTCCATTCTAGTCGATTCTTCCAAATCTGAGTAAGTCTTTTTCAAGTTGTTAATAACATCCTGAAGCCTACAGAAAACGTAAACATACGTTTACAAGGTAATATTGTCAAACAATTACAGATTAGAACAAACAATTATAATTGCTAATACGCGCTTGTTAATCTTTCTCTTCTGCTGATTCTTCACGATGGTGTTTTCTTCGTCTCGTCGTTTCAGCACTGCATAATTATAATCTAATTTTTCAATATTCATCATGCAAAAGACTTTCATATTTTGCACTTCCTGCTGAAGATTCTGTATTTCCAACTCAAACATGATCTTTTGCTTCCTAAACTCTTCTTGGTGTTGTATCATTACTTTCTGCATCTCCTCTTCGTATTCGCGCATCACTTCCTTCCTTTCCTCCGTTGCTTTGAACGTATCGTCTTTGAGCTTTTTAAATAATACATTCCATTTCTCTAAAGAGGATTCCAAAAGCATCTTTCGCTCCATTTCGATAACACTTTCGATCAGTTCTACTTCTCGGCGATAAGCTTTGGTCATCGTTCGTATCTAAAACACATAAGAGGTAAGTACATTTGAAAGAAATTATGTACGTAGCGAAAGAACAAACCCACTTGGTTCTCCATTCTTTCGATGAGCAAATCAATATCCTCATTTTGTTTCTTCACATCCTCGGTGTATTGTAAATCAGCATTGTCCAATTCTTGTTTCAATTCCGCGATCAACGCATCCTTCTGCTCCAGGATCTCGAGGCATTTGGTATTTTGCTTTTCCAACTCATCGTGAATGTCCAGCGGGTGTTTCGAAGCAAGTATATCAGGCCATTTTTCCGTAATTTCATGATACTTCTCCATAGACTTTTGGCCTTCCTCTTCTATTACCTTTAACAACTCCTCTCTCTTCTCTTGCATCTCTTTTCGCCTCTGCAACTCCTTCGCGTCATTCGCCACTCGAACACCTGCAACCTACGTCAAAATATTATTCACAATGTTGACACACAATGCGTACACCGAAGCAATTACATTTTATTGCGATTAACTATGGTTGTTTGTTAACTCAAGAGAATTGATAAGTAATTATTTCCTTGACTCAAATTGCACGTACCACTTCATCTCCTTCCGTGGCTAACTTCTCCAACGCTTCTATGCTATCAAGTATTTGCTTCTCGATGGGTGTTATTTCCTCGACTTTTTCATCCGGATCTTTTATCTGTCTAACATCAAAAAATTATATATATTGTCTATGATGTCTATGAGATACGAAAAATATTTGGCGCGTATTCTTTGTCATGCGGTAACAATATTATGAACGAAGAGTATTTTCCTCTTGAATATTCGCCCCAAGGAATGATTGTTTGAATAATTTAATAACTGTACGTGTGTATGAAATTTTCTCTCATTCTTATTCTTACATAAATTATCCTTATTCTTGCAACTTAAACTTAAGTTGCAAGAATAAAGTTGTCACAATAAAATTACCTGCATATATTTTCGCAACATACTCGTGTACATGTTCATAATTGTAAAGTTATACGATATTCCAGCCAATTCTGTACTATGCGTCCCTAATTAGTTTGTGATTACATATTAAAATCATCAACTAATTCACCTATTTTCGTTATGAGCGGCGTGAAAAGATTTTAAATCCCCAACATAATTACGATTATACCAAAAATTACAATGTAACAACAATTGTTTCGCCTTATCAATGACGTACGATCAAGTTTAAATTGCCCGCGGTAATTGGCACCTAACATTTTTATTACGTATTACCTGACGCCTAATACATCCAAATAACAAATAACAATTATCCAATTCTGGCTGCATCTGCGTTTAAACTATAAAAATATGAATATTACCTTTTCTTTGACAAAAAATTTATAGTGTGTAGTACGTTTACTATATAAAATATATATATATCTGTGCATATTGAAATTTTATCCGATCCTTACTTATCTCGTGCTTGTACACGTCGTTGTATGCGAAGTCTGCGTGCCAACTTTCGCTCGTTTGCATCGGACGATAAAATGGATGGTTCTTCTGGATGTTCCGAGATGTTTGAATGTTTATCGTGCAATGACATGACTCTTCAACTTTTATATGCAATAAAATATACAATTAAGACCGAAACTCTGAATTTAATACATATATGTATTAAATTGAATCGCACAAATGTTGAGGTTGAACTACGGGAGAGGTTAGGTGTTAGAATCATACAAGAACCAGTAACAAAGAATGGAAATTAGGGATGGAAATGCTTGTATAAAGTAAACAATATTGTTTGTTCGATATTTAATTATTATCGATTAACGACAGAGTAGTTACATATAAATATTGCCCATTGACTATCAACTAGTTGGTGATGTGACGTCGTATATAATTTTAAGTCTCGTATTTTACGCCCTCTGTGATCTACTGCGACAAATATGAAAATTATGTCACACTCGTCGTCAATTGTCAAAAACAATAAAATCAGTAACACTGTCCTTATTACGAAAATTAATTAAATCTCAATTGTTAATTGAATCTCAAACAGTACCTGTAAAATTATAGAAAAATTTTATCGAATATAATGGTAATTAATTGAGAAAATATTTCATTACGCTCTACTGAATCAAAAAAAATTGTCTACAAGTCACATCTCTTTCATACCTCATCTATGCCATTGACTAATTGTAAAGATAGAATTTAATTCATAGATTTATTCAATGGTGAAACCACAGACGCAAACAAGATGTGATGAAATGATTTGATTCGCGCTTATGGTTAGTACATTATAAATTCTTAATATCTGTGCCTCCTAAAGATGGCACTGAGTGCAAGATTGTAAGATAATTATTAGTTTAGTCAATTGGAAGATGTCCTCACCATCGCTGATATTTAATCACAATAGTATATTTAAAGAATTTATAAATAAAAGAGAAAAAGGATATATGTGGCATCGGAAAACATTTTAATTGCACTTCAATAAAACTGGATTGTTCATCATGACGCGAAATTAAATTTACGCAAGTATGTATATTACAATTATACCAATTGATTACATTGTTTTAGCGCTGATTCTTATCAACATTTTTTGCACTAACTGACCAATTTCTGCACAATTAAATGGATTCTGCAAAATTTTGTACGATTGAACTGATATTTTTTAAAAGATCCAGAAATTAGTGTCCGTACACGAAATATTTTTATATAAAATTCTTGTTGATTGTTTTATCACAATGAAATTGAGATATAAAAAGTTAACCAAAAATTTGGAAAATAAATTATACACGAGTATATACATACGTATTTAAGAATAATACAAAATACTATAACATAACCTTTTACAAAGCTTTACATAACAAATCATACGTAAAAGACCCTCACAGTACGTTATACATAATCAATCGTACGTCTATTTAACAGCAAGTACTGTTTAAAATTGAATACAACGAACACTTTTATATATGGGTACTGTGAGTTCGTTAAGAGGTAACTATAAATCACCGTTACAGAACACATAATAGGCGTTTCTCGTTCGAAGTTCTCAACTGCGAATCACTTGTGAAACTGTCTTCGTTTTCGAACAAAGTATGTAATCCAAGTTCGAAGGAAATCGCTCTCTCTAACCTTGATGAGGTACTGACAAACGGATGTTTGGTATTATCGCCAATCGTGTAACGTCATAGGGCACAATCATTGTAAACCACTAGAACAAATACGATACGTAAGAGACAAACGAAACAGTGCATTTCGTGAATTCACAGTCACTATATCGACGCCATGAATCTACGACTTTGATGCGATTTTAACGGATAAAGCTAAATAAGAGGAGGCAAAGGCCAGGTCCGGCTCGATGCGTACCAGTGCCTCGCTACTTTTCGGAAATGTTGGTAAAAATAAGCCAATAATTCGACGAAACTGAATTATATTGCGATTCCAAGTATACGTATAAAATACATGTGTCAATTCTCGCTTTTGCAAATATATAATGTTTACATGTTTTGTATAATAATAATGAATTTAATTTGTGGAAATTGTATCGCTACGTACACAATTGTCATATGTTGCGTTGAATTATAGCATTCGAGAAGGATTAACTTTATCGTCGCAGCAAATTCTGTTCTACAATTTCTACATACGTATAGACTCATATACATATATACCTATGTTGTTTTTATTTCAAAGAAGACAGAAATACGTTTTATATTTATATTTTATGTTTATATTTATACACGTATATACATACAGACGTTCTACATCCAAGGTATTTGCATACAAAGCGCATCCAAGCGCAGGCTGATAAATATCGTATTTGAACAGGTTACGGGCCGCAGTCGGGCCAACGCGTTTGTTTGATCGTTACTTCCTTGAGGTTAGGGGCCACGTCGCGAAGCTAAGTACTTTTATTTTCATAATAATCGGATTTTCCGTCTTTATTGTCTCGGTAGAAAGTACCGATGTGCCCCGGGTAATTGGTTGCCCCTGAAACGGCCCTGGTGAGAGCGGAATGGAAAGAGAGGGACTAACCGTGGAACAAAGATGGCGCACAAACACGGCCGGCGGAGAAGGCGCGAGCTACGGGGGAAGAGGACGAGACGATTACAGGGTAGGTAGTGAAGAGAAGAGAACAGAAGAGTAGTGAAGAGAAGAGAAGTAAAGAGATGCGAAGAGCAGGGTTGGGAGAAGAGGATAGGTTCGGTTGGGGTGCGGGACGATTTAGCGTGACAAGAAGAGCGAAACGGCGTAGGGTAGAGACGGGAAAAGCCGCGCTGGGGTCGGTGAAGCCGCGAGTAGGGGAGGATTGGGAAGGGACAAGAGAGAGACAAACACAGCTCTGAACGGTCGCAGCGCGGGTCGGGGGTTCGGGTTAGCTCGTTCGACCCGTTATCCCTTCTCTCTTGGAGTCACGAATTCTCTCTCCCTACCTGTCCTTGCTTCGATTCGAACGCGAGTCCCACCACTCACTCGCCCCTCCAGGGACGTACCAAAAGTCCCCACTTCCCCGTCACTCCCAACCCACCAGCGATACACTTCAACGGCTGGCGGGCGACGATCGCGATTGCAAGTCGCCGCTTTCCGAGGTAGACTCGTTTCATTCCCCTACGCTGCCCTCCCCACCAGGCGGCCGACAACCGTACTAGCCGGCGAGCCATACTACGCTCCCGCCACGGTGACGTCACTCTGAGTAGTGTAGTGCAGTGAGAAGGAGCAAAAGCCAAGCTCCATCCGCGTTACATGGCTCGAGTAAACGAGAAGCGAGTGCGTTGAAACGTACATATACAAACGTGTTTGTATCGTATAGCGATCGAGTCTAGCCAAAACGTACCCATTAATTTCCTCGATCAACACGACGTTGTTATGTGACACGACGCGTCCGATCGCGAAAGAAAGAGAAACAAATAAAGTAAAAAAAAAAAAAAAGAAAAAGAAACAAAGAATAGAGAAAAACCGCACTTCGCTTTTACCAACGAAAACAAACGACCAACTTGCAATTCCGAGTGACGAAGATGCTGAGCGGTGTTGATACAGTGACATGTGAAAGGATCGTCTCTTACGTGCATTAGTGAAAAGTATGAGAAAAGGGAGAAAAGTCGTGATAAAGGGGGAAAACGGAGAAGAAAAGGAATACAGTGTCTCGTGCGCGCAGTGAAAAAAGGAAAAAGTTGCACGTTGTATTTGCCGAGAGAAGAAAAGTCAACACGGTCGTCTGCCTCTGGTAGATAGATCGTTTTATCCTTTCTTTTTCTTTTTTTTTTCTGAAGTGCCGACGGTCCCGTGGGGATCCGAAGAAGTTGTTGTTGGTCAGTGTTATATATGGTGGCAAGGAAACGAGAGCAAAGTTGAGAATCAAGCAGTGTGATGATGCTTGGCAGATATGCGTTGGGATGTATCGCCCGCGCATTGTGCCCGGTGTGCTTAGTGTGACGTGTAATTAACCGTCTTTCTTCATACGCGATTCAGTGGTATACGATGTGGTGTTCGGCGACGGTTCTGATCCTTCTAGCCGTTGCCATCAGTGGTGTCCACTATCGAGGCTCCTCCTCTTCTTTGTGGTTGTTGTGGTTGATATCGCCGCCGTCGCCGCCGTCGTCGTCGTCGTCGTCGTCGTCGTCGGCGTCGTCGCCGTCGTCGTCGTCGCCGTCGTCGTCGCCGTCGTCGTCGCCGTCGTCGTCGCCGTCGTCGTCGCCGTCGTCGTCGTCGTCGTCGCCGTCGTCGTCGCCGTCGTCGCCGTCGTCGCCGCCGTCGTCGTCGTCGTCGCCGTCGCCGTCGCCGTCGCCGTCGCCGTCGTCGTCGCCGTCGCCGTCGTCGTCGTCGTCGTCGTCGTCGTCGTCGTCGTCGTCGTCGTCGCCGCCGTCGCCGTCGCCGTCGTCGTCGTCGCCGCCGTCGTCGTCGTCGCCGCCGTCGTCGCCGTCGCCGCCGCCAACGCCAACATCAACATCGTCGCTGCCGACATCGACATCGTCGCCACCGCCGCCGCCGCCAACATCATCGCTGCCGACATCGACATCATCGACATCGTCGCCGCTGCCGACATCGACATCATCGTCATCGTCATCAGTGTCGTCGCCGTCGCTGTTATCACCATCGTCACAGTTGTTATCGCTATCATCGCTGCTGTGGTTGTCGGCAGCGTGCATCACGACGATCCGAAAGTTCGATCACGAGGTCTTCGCAGCCACCCTATCCTGTTGGCCGATCGTTCCACGGTGCTGCCCTGACGACAGCACTCATCATCGTCCCTGGGGTCACCTTCCGGCTAGTGACTAGTGATAATCTGTTTGTTGCTAGTGATTAAATTGAAAGAGTGTCGAAGTGGGAGAGAAGCTGGTTCCTTCGTTGTGTGGTATACACGTAACGTAACCTAACGGTTTCTACGTTTCTTCTTGTCGCGTGTGTGTTGTGAGTTGTAATTACGAGCTAGAAAGTTTCATATCCTCGATCCAATTGGGAATATATATCAATTGTGCCGTGAAGCCGAGGAAAAGATCAGTTATTTACTTATTGATTTCGTGGTGAAACACCGATCCGGAAGGGAAGCAAGTTCAGTAAAGAGAAAAGAGCTTCTCCTTTACCCGGCGCTCCAGTGTTTTGTGGTATTCAATATCGGTGGTGTGTGTGCCTCTGCCCTGTGTGTGTGTGAGTGTGTGGTGGCAAGAGTGTGCCGTGATTAACGTCGGTCGAAGTTGTGTGTCGTTGTACAGTACCGCCAAACGATACCACAACATCCGATCCCAAATGAAGAGTTCGGAGCAAAATGGTTAGAGAGACACGTCACCTGTGGGTTGGAAATCTGCCGGAAAACATCCGAGAGGATCGCATACGAGAGCATTTCAAACGGTGAGCCTCCTTTTTCTTTTCGTACACTTTGCTTTTGCCTTTTAACACAAGGCGGCCTTATGTAACTCTAATACATACGTATGTACATGTACGTACACACGCACCACAATTCGATTTGACAAAGTTCGAACCGTGCCGTCGTTCTCCTCCTGTACAGTTTACTACCGTAGTATATTATCTACCTAGTTCATACAATAGTGTGCACGGAATTTGACGTTTATTTTTCCGTTTATCTTCTTGGTGTACCTACCGTATTCTTTTACACAAGAGGTCACGAACCTTAGGACCGCTTGATGCGAGATTTACGGGTAAATATTTCTGATTTTCTAAATCGAGAAAAAGAGATATAGCATACACAGATCCTCATACATCATTAAGGGCAAGAAGTATGTTTTTATTGTTGCCGTGCTGTCTGAACTACGATCGACGATAATTTGGTCGGAAAACTTTACGATTGACACGGTCGTGTCCTTTGTAACGTTTGTGCCAATCTTTCGAACGATCGAAAGTTCGGTTAAACTGGACTTTGACAAATGTATACGTATACAAACGTTTAGTAAACGAACAATTGAAGAAATCGTGAAAAATTTATTTGTTAGACTAAACACGTTGTGTTTCGTGCAACGAAAGATATTTTCAGTTTGAGCAAAACCAAAATTCCGAAACGCGCATAGAAAGTATATGCTTTGATGTTTTCAATTTTAAACGTAGAGGATCTTGCACGCGTGGGCAAGTACACACCCACACCTCACGTACACACCTAACGAATACAGACGATGTGCGTTATACGAAGAAGAGCCTTGGCTCTGGCTCTCCTCGCGTAGCGTAAGCGCGCCGTCATTTGTTTTTTCCCCGAAGTAATAATAACTGAGGACAGCCATTTTGAGAGCTCGCGCGGCACGAAGTTATTGTTCGACAGTGACGCTCAAACTGTGGATCCTCTACGGGCACGCCTTTCGTACGTGTCTAGAAAGGTAAACACTCGAATAAAATTGGAAAATTTATTGTAATATCCCGTCCGTGGATTGTCGCTGAATTTCGCAACGAAAACAACAACAATAATAATAATAATAATAACAACAACGATGATAATTGCAACACATTGATTTTGCATTTCTTCTCATTTACGTTATTTATCATTTATTATCATTTATTTGTGTCGAAAAACAGAACATTAAAGTGGTTTATTAAACGATTGATTTAATATTTGAATAAATAATTATATAATAGATTTTATACGCATTCGTGATTGAAGTAGAAGTAGAAGGTTTTCTTTTTTTCTTTTTTTTTAATGAATTATTGCACAGACTCGAAAACTTTTCCTTGTCGCAATAGTCGTAATTTTATCGATTGAACAAATATCTATCCAAGTCGCATTTTAGACCAGGTATCACTTTTGATTCTATTTATAAACATTTATCCGATGCGCTAAAAAGTATTACGAGTAATATTATGTTGGCGAATTGTCTTTGTTGAAACTTCGTCGGAATGTATTTATTTTGTAATGCGTTAAAAATATCCGTAACTTTCTATGCATATTTGCACGTATGGAGCAACGTTATGTGATACACAAAGTAGAAATATACTTAAAATACCGGTGGAATTGTTAAAGAGCAGAGATCGAAGTAGGAAAACAGAAGTGAAAACTAACGGTGACGTGGCTCAGTGACGCTCAATTTTCGGATACCGAACAGCCTGAAACAGTTACAATGTAAAATGTTTATTATTACAAGCAGTTTTTATGAAAGACCTATCCACAAAGCTATTTCTGTTAGTATTGTCATCGTTATTAATTTTCACGCATACAATTAAACGTTATGTGAATTTAGAGAAACAGGTTTTACATCATTGTACACTTTTATTGCAACACATTATATCTATACTCTGAGTGTTAATTATTTTCGATGCTATTTACACACTTATTCGCTAAGAATTTGCCCGATCAGTTACGTAAATGACGAAAATCGTCTCTATTCACAGTTACATCGCGAATCCTTTCATATTTAGAGGTTGTAACTATTCTAGAATACATAAAATACTTATAATATACATTGAAAAAGAAATGTCAAGGATGTTTCTATAAGTTCATAGTTTCTTTGGACTCAAACGTGTTTTACGTTACACAAAATATTTAAGATTGTATCGATTCAGGTGAGTAACGTTACCTGAGTTTTTTTTGACAGTCAAAGAAAGTTCTAGCAGGAAGTCTATTTTCAATAGTTTCAAAATGTTTATAAATTGTGATCTTATTAATTTTTCTAGATATATAAGCATATTCATTTTACCAACTGCGCTATTATTTATATTTTACGTGTCAGCTGGGATGATACTTGATTTATATCTGGACCTCGTTCTTACGGTCATCAAACGTGCGTTATAACCGTTAAGGCTCATCCTTAAAATGGCGGATGGTGTCGTTACACCGTTGACCTCCAGTGTCTCGAAACATGTGACAGTGAATGAAATAATATTTCTTAAAATGTTATCCTCGCCCTGTTATTTACAATCATTTCATTCTGCTTGTAATGTTTATCCTACTATTTTCCACAAAAAAATGTAGAACGAAAGAACATCGTTTTTTTTATATCTGAAATATTATTTACCATACAAAATGTACCTAGTAGTACAAATGTACCTAAAAGATTTTTTTCACGTTGAAAGTTATAAAGTAGTTTATATCTTAATTTTAATATAAAAAGTCATTTTATGCAGTGTATGTGTACGTAGTATTATTCATTTACGTTTTCATTAACTTTATTAATTTTTCATAATAGTAGCAACATTTAAAAAATAGCATTTTTCATAGTAACAAAGTTTGTATCTTCAATTGTATATTTTTGAAAAATATGCAGATATTAAAATCTTTATTTTTGGAAAATTGTTGAAACTATGAACATTCAGTCATTAGTTAAATTTAATGTTTCTTTTCAAAAGAGAGAAAGATATTTTCATCATGAAGTGATATCATTTTACGTCGTTAAAAAACTTGTTTATGTGTGTGTATATACATTTGCATGTATGTAATAATCGTCATCAAAAATTGTCCATTTTTCGCATTTTCCGCAACGGAAGCCTCATAAATCCTTTTTTAGCTGTACATCAAACGCTTAATAGCCATTAAACGCTTAATAAGACCATAGTTACGAAAATAAGGAATGCGGCAGATCTCGAGTATACTTGACCATAGTCTTACGAGAATCGTGCATGAAGTCGGAGATGCGTTTTTTAAACGCACGTTTGATATATTCTTATGTGTACGGCATGTGCATCGTATATTCGTACAATGCGTTCTTCCTTTAGCCAGAACGTAAATTTCCCTGTTATTGTACACGCATGGCACATGGATATACCTTCGAATTTCTGTTCGTTCGCTACAGGCGAGAAAGAGATATAACAGTATCCATCGAGTGTGCATACGTATATATGGCCGTGTACAAGTAGTATGCACACGTATCGCGTTTGCAATTTATGGTCACACGGAGATAAGAGTATGCGCAGCTTTCATATACGTGTCCTATACACGCACTCAACTTTGCGAGATTGTGTGCACGTTAGATTATATTTACAATTTGTGCGCGCGTGTGCACGTACGTATACACATGCATGATTGGCCGATGTATTGAGAGAATGTTTGAGAATGTGTTTATGTGTGCGCGCGCGTGTATGTGTATATATTATATGTATGTATGTACGTACGTGTGTATATATGTGGGGGGTTGCCGGCGTATTTTGTTATATTGATCGCGCGTGGTCGACCACCCCCCCTTCTCCAGTCTAACTCTGCCCCATCTCTCTCTCTCTCCCTCCCTCCCTCTCCACCTCATACCGTACCGCGCCCCTTCACCCCATGCTCACCCCACCTTTTCTCTGCGCCTCGTCCTCGTGTTCCACTCGACGTCACCCATCCGAAAACCTTCGACTCTCCGACAACCTCCAGTCACACGTATTTTCCCGTGTTAGCGCACCTACGGTGATATACGAGCTGTCACAAATATGTATCCGAGTTACATACCCTCCTCTATGTGCACAGGTATTTGTGCTTTATGCCCCGTGTATAGGTGTTTGTTCCTTATAGCAGCAATCGAATTTCTTGTTTCTCATCGGAGAGCCCACGTTCTTAAGTGAATCATGTATGTTACATGATATCGTTATGAGAACGGCTGGTTTGTCGTGAAAGCGATTCGTCGAATGCAGGTTTTAGAATCGATATAAGTTGAGGATGGTTGCCGGTGGTTGGAGGTGATGGATATTTCAGGTAATTTTATATTTGACGGAATCGATATTTCTTTTGAAAAATGTAGCACGAGAGATTCGACGTTTCGCCAACGTATACGCTTCCATATAAGCATATCAGCTTCCATATAAACGAACGTACGATGGTCGAAGATCGAGCAATTAATCGGAACGTTCCTTCGACGCATTGCGCCGCTGGGACGTGATTAATTGCATTCCAAATTCTGTGAAGTAATCGCGACGACGCTAAGAAAGTCTCATTTTTTTATTCCGTGTTCCCATTGTTTCGTATTGTGTTCACGTTTGTACATTTCTTCCCACATTTCGTCGCATTGTCTGGCCTTTGTATCAGCATATACATAACTAATCGTATGTCAGCTACCAGAACATTTCTTTAGCACTAGAACTACCAAAAATGGCCGAAACGACCATTTGAATATTTTTTTGTCAGATATTTCATAGATACAAAACAGTGTATTTTCCGAAACCTGAATGATTTTTCGCGAGCTTGCGTATCCTATTGTCTTACAAAGGAAATTTTATGCTTTAGCTCCAGTGTTAATCATTTCCGGTTATTTTCTTTTGATATTCGCACGGTAGGTCGTCAAAATCGGCCAGACATGTCTGCGAAGGATGCAAGCACAAACTGAACTAACACAACTCGGAGCTAGGTTCGTGACA